TCAAACTTTCTAAATTTGATTTGAATTTTGAATCAAAATTGAATTTAGATAAAGGTTTGATTAAATTTATAGAATAATAAATATACTATTTTATTTTATAATATAAATATATGTTTTTTGATATTAAAAATAATAAAAAAATACCAAGAATTTTAATATTTTAGAATATTTTAATTTAACAAAAACTAGATTTCAAAAATACAAAACTAATAATAAATATTTTATTAAAAATAAATTGAAAAATCAAACTGGTGATAATACTTTGTCTAGATAAAAAGAAATAAATTTTTATTTCATATTTTAGAAATACTTAATACTTTATATATATATTTCAAGTAAATTATATAATTATCTCATAAAAATTCTATATATACAAATTCTATATAATTGCACAATTTTTTGATGCCATTTTTTTATTAAAATTATCTTTATACAATCATATTTTATATTAATATTATCCATTCAATAATCACAAAGTCACATGAGATGTAATTTTAATCACGTGATATAAAATAATAATTCTGGCTAATCACGTACGTATAGCGATAGTATCGGATAAAATGTAATCAAAATACGTTCACACCATCCAACCAACTGCGTGACTATATGGGGGATGATTGTACTTACATTCTAAAAATTTATGAGTACGTAAATATTTTTATATATATTACATATTTAGTAGGTATTTAGGGATTTGAATCAATTCGAAGAACTTATTTCCTTGAATTTGGAATTGATTCTATCCCTAAATTGAGATAAAAATCAATGAAGCAAAGTATGAATATGTAATATAATAGAGTATTTATCCTGAACTTCTGGCAATTGACAAAAAGCAAAGGTAATCTAGCGAAAATTTAACAAACAGGATAAGATTTTTAGATGTTATACTTTAAAGGTATTGCATGAAATATCCGAAGTCGTGATATTGCCCAGATAAAACAAATCTTTTCGACCAGTGCCTTCGTTTTGAACATACCGACACAGTGACCCTAAATAGTCAAAATAAATTTATAAATGTCAAAATGTACTTGTCATTTTTGTACTAGAATGGATTTTTGTTTTTTTTTGTTCGTATTTATAAGAATGCCTTTTGTAATTTCATTTTCTACCTTTCTAATTACATTTTAAGTATTACAACTCTTAAAACACATAAAGCAAAGTATTTAGCTTTCACTTCTTTTCTGAAAATAAATAATTATTAGTTCCAAGAACTGTATTTGGTAGGTCATATCACAAAATGGTCACTTGCCTGTTAGTTTAATGTATGGCTTTCCATTTAACACCTCTGGACTAACTTTCATTGTGTGCTGTGTTTTATATATGTTTATTTAAAACTTTGAAATGTGGTAAACAAGGATAACGGTAATGTATGCTAGTAAGTCGATTTCTGCGTTAGCGTCAACGTTACATAGCGACAGCGATAACGATAATTAAGGCATTTGTCATGTGCTTTCTATTAATAGAACCCATTAACGTTAACGTTTATCGTTATTGCGTAAAGATACTACCGCTACATCATGTTGAAATTCCAAAAACAACGCACGTCAATTTCATTTTGAATTGATGTAAATTTCGAAATGACATACAGTGGCTCACAGAAGAAAACGGAACGCTGAAAAAAAAATGGCGAGATACAAATACTTTGCTATCGATAGGTAAAGGCAAGTCAATTTGGTTCAATGATACTTTGAGTATTGATGGCTCAAAAAAATATCTCCTAACGAAAAAGATAATGATTTTTAGCGTTCCATTTAATATGACCGATTTGGAGACGGTTTTTCTAATTAAGTAAGTTGGCAGCTTCTAAAATTTCTTGCATTACATATTACCTAACCTTGTTTAATATTCTATAGACCCATCCCGCGCTGCTATGACCTTTTTAATCCTATTTGGCATCGATTCGTACAACTTAGTACAGTAATCGATATATACGCTCTTCCACGCGATTTGTAGGTTTTCCTACAATTCGCTTTTGGTGGAAAGTGACCCCAGGAAGTTGTCTCATGCGCGTGTCGACTTCGTTCCATAGGTTTTCGATTTGGTGTAGGTCGGGGGACTGGGTGGCTAGTCAAGCAAAGCATGTCATTATCAGCGAACCATTTCTTTGCTTTTCCGGAGGTATGTTTTGGGTCATGATCTTGCTGAAAGATAAACTCATTATCCTCCAGCATTTTCTTCCAGACCGTCCTTAAAAAAATTATTATTCAGTATGTCTATGTAAACATCTGCATTCATTATTACTTCAATTTTTTGCAACTCGCCAACGCCGTCAGCTGTCACGCAACCCCAAACCATAATCGAACCGCTACCAAATTTCACAGTTGGCGTGATATGCTGGTCCTTCAACGGTTCGCCGGGTTTCTTCCAGAAATATTTTCGACCGTCTGATTCAAAAATTTGGTACTTGCTTTTGTCAGAAAAAATTACGCGTTGCCAATCGTCGGCCGTCCAACTTCGGTATTTCTTCGCCCACGCCAATCGTTGTTTTCTATGTTTTTTTTTTTGAGGTAAGGCTTTTTTCGCTTGATCCTCGCGAATAAGCCGTTTCTTCGGAACATACGTCGTATGCTCTCGCAAAAAGGTTAATCCCAACTCATTTTTAAGCTCACGTTGGACTTCAACGGTGGTGTAGATCAATCGCAAAGCATTTCGTTCGTAGCGCGCTGAGAGGGTTAGTGGGCGACCGGTTTTGGATTGTCGTCGAAACTTCCGGTCTCTTTTTTCTTATGGTATATTTTATGGGCGGAAGCTAAACCCACCTTCTCTGATGCTGCAATTTCCGGATCGAATATCCTTCCTGTCGGAGGGCGTGTATTCAGGCGCGTTTTTCTTGTGAAATTCGAGGCATTGGAGGTAAAAATTTGATTAATATTTGTTGCGTGGTATGGAAATGTATTTTATTTACAGTAAATGAGAATTCCAAAGCATTTGTACTTAGCTTTTATAGCCTTCCATTCACTAGAATATTCGGTCATATTATATGGAACGCCAAAACAAATTAAAAAAATCTTTATCTTTTTGGTTAGAAGATAGATTCAAACTAATTTGTTGATTCATCAATACTCAAAGTATCATTGAATCAAATTGACTTACCTTTATCTGTCGATATTCCCTCAATGGCGAGGTATTTGTATCTCGCTGTTTTTTTTCGGCGTTCCGTTTCTTCTGTGAGGGACGCACAAGTCTAAATTCAAGGCTTTAATTCATCATACTAACAGATTGAATTTGGATTTAGATTCGTACCGGAGGGTACAACTTTGAAATTCTGGAAGAAAATGTCGGTGAATTTCTGGATAAAAATGACAAGTTTTTTTTTATAGGGATATTGATTTTATATAGAAGCCCCGAAAATTATAAGAGAATGCCTAAAATCGAACATTCGTCCGCACCTGCTTCTTACATAAATGCTGATAAGTTTCGTTGCTTTTGTAACGCCGATAAAGAGCCTTTATTAAGAGAATTTATTTTCATCACAACACGAAAGAGGATAATTAACCACAGGTAAAAGGGTAAAGTTTACCAAAGGTTTAAGAGCGTCAAGCTTGTGATAAACTAACGTGTTTGCTTAAGGTTTCCAATTCTATTCAGGTTTATTCAAAGTTTACCAAGGTGGTGAACTTTTTGATAAACTAATGAATGCATTTGCACAATGTTTAACTTAAGTGAACCATATTAAAACCAATATAAACCTAAGTTTAGAATAAGTTTTCAAATTACAAAAGTTTGACAATTATAAACCTTACCCCTTTATCTGAGCAATACTTTCTTTATCTTTGAGACTTCTGGGCATAGAGTAGGCCACACTATTATATGATGCTAGCTTTGGTTTGCCTCTTACCGTAGAGCACTGTCTCTACGATAACATCCGAAGTTCGACATTGATTTCCGATCCCACTAAACTCTATAGACACTTGAACAAATACCAGATGCTATCATCGAAGGATTCAATGAAGCATACGTCGCATCGGAGTTAATCGTTTTGAACCGGCGATTGGTTAGGCTCATTCTATATTACTCTATTGTATCGGCGTATGATTTTTAATTTAGCATTGAAACAATAATATGAAAAGTAACTCATTTGATATTAAACGTAATCATGCGATAAATTCATGAAACTTTTACGTGGCATGTTATTCATCGAATGTTAATTGCATCAAATCAAATCAATCAACGCTAAAGGCGTTCACGCCTATGACCAAAAATTTACGTTGCGACTTCCTTTACTTTTCACCAAAACTTGTTTTTGAAAACATCTATTTGCTTATTTTCTTTTTGCACAGCAACTAATTTCTCTTTCAAAGATGCAATTTCTTCCCGAAAAGAAGCCGTAAAAGTAGTGGTTTATCTGTAATTCTTTTTCTAATAACGTAATTCAATCGGCTAACAAAAATCATTCGATTTTTGCATCTTTTACCATTACCGTTACATTCAAAAAAGGAAGCTAGTCATACATTCACTGAGCATCAAAAAAACGCTATGTCGATATCGATATAGCACTAGAATTTATTTTATCGTTATCGTGATCGATCGTTATTGTTAGCTATAAAATGAACATATTAATTGTGTATGCTGTGTGTAGTTTTCGTATTTTTTTGTATATTTTATTTCTTAATAGAAAAAAAGCTTTCAATATTAATATACAATACATTCTTTTTCTTCTTAATTCCGATTCTCTCTCCTTTTGGAACACACAAATTTCGAAAAAGAACCAGAATAACTGCCATAAAATATAAATAGCCTCTGGAAGGCTCAGATAAAAAAACTCATCCACACGTTCTTCTTTCCATTTCTTTAGAATATACTCATACACACAAAAAACACGCACACGCACACGCACACACACGCACGCACGCACGCACACACACATATATGAGGAGAGAACGTATAATCAAAGATTTATTTTGGGCGATTTCTGCGGCTGTTGTTTGTGGATTTGGCGCTGATAATGTTAATGGACAGTCGTCAACATCGTTGTCGTCGTCGTCGGGTTCATTAGGAGAATGGAAGTATGTTGGAAGGTAGGTTTAGCTAGTTATTTTATTATTTTATCATAATTTTTTGTGTATAAATTAAATCACAGCTTTCTGGAAATAATAGAACAGGTGCCTCAGCAATGCATATTGTAGTAACATCACCAAATCGAATAGTAATTCTAGATAAAGGTAATTCTTTTCTTTATCACATCCTACAATCACAAATATTTACAAAAACTAACCAAGCATCAAAAAAAACCCCAGCTGAATACAACCCCGAAGCAAAATACCCCGACGGCAGAACCGGATGGACCACAGAATACAATATAGACACCAACGAATTCAGGATGTTAAATCTGGAAACGAACACTTTTTGTTCGGCCGGTGCGTTCTTGGCAAACGGAACGCTGGTCGAAACAGCGGGTGGTCAGAAAAATGTTAGAGCGAAAGAGGGGTTTTCAAAAATTCGATTGTTTTCACCGTGTTCGGATGATTCGTGTGATTGGTTAGAGTTGGAACATCATATGGATGCTGCTCGGTGGTATAATACAATGCTTTCGTGAGTAGTGGTTGAAGTTACATTGAATGGTTTCTTTAGCTTAACTAACTAGTTAATCATTGATAATTTAAGATTGCCAGATGGTCGAGTTTTTAATTTTGGTGGAAGTACTAAACCTGCAGCCACTAATGATTTAAAGATAAATAATCCTACTTATGAATTTTATCCAGAAGTTGGACAAAAACCTTTTCAATTTCTTGTCGACACGTAAGTCTAAGACCGTTTTTTCCTACGATTCTCACCCAATACAGAATTGATCGATTCATAATGTCTTTAAACTAAAAACTTTACATATATATACAGTATCCCTTACAACCTATACCCAATAGCACACGTCCTCCCCGATCGCAACAACACAATCTTCATATTCGCCAGCACAAAATCAATCTTATTCGACTACTCAACTGGAACCGTGATCAAAAGCTTACCCGATATTCCAGGGTTACCGAGATCATATCCGCTCACCGGATCTTCGGTCTTGCTCCCGCTAACATACGAGAACAATTATCGACCAGAGATTTTGATTTGTGGCGGTGGAACGAAGATGAAACGAGGCGCAAAAGCGGTGGACAATTGTGGGAGGTTGGATCTCGGGATTGATTTGGAGGGTGGAGTGCCCGAATGGGATATTGAAGATTTTGGTGGGTTGCCGAGGGTTATGCCGGATGCTATTATTTTAGCGGATGGAACTGTGTTGTTTGTTAATGGTGCTGGTCGTGGGTATGCTGGATATGGTGAGTTTGAAATAACAATTAATTCATGAATTCAAACTCTGACTAATTTACTTACTAATTACATCATAATAAAACAGATAAAAAATTCAAACACCAGGCCGATTTGCCAGTGAAAAATCCAGTACTCTACGACCCGAAAAAAGAAAAAGGCTCAAGATGGACTGTACTCGCCCCGTCGGAAATTCCACGAGTGTACCATTCGGTCGCCACACTAGTTGCTGATGGGTCGGTGTTTGTCGCTGGAAGCAATCCGAATAATGATTACAATGATACAAGTGATTTCCCGACAGAGTGAGTTATTATTTACATATAAATAAAGTCAAACCTCGTTATTATGACACAAGAAATTCAAAAAAATTTTTGTCATTATAACGAGGTTTTATTATGATGTCATAATAATGAGGTTTGACTATTGATTTTTCTCAACCCTTATTAATTAATAATGAAATCATATCATTCTAGATACCGAGCTGAAAGATTCTATCCACCATACCTTCTCACCAACAAACCACGTCCCACAATCCAATCAGTAGCCGGTGCCGACAAACTCAATATCCACCCAATCCCAATAACCTACAGCCAATTACTTGACATCAAACTCTCATTCAACGGCATCCGGTTCACCAAAAACTACACGCCAGAATTCACCGCCGCAATAATGCACTTTGGATTCGTGACTCATTCGCAACACATGTCACAGCGATACGTGAAACTCCGTGTCTCGAATATAAGAAAAGACACGATGTCGTTGTCGTCAAAGTACACGATTACTGTGGAGACACCGCCGAATTCTAATATTATTGCTCCGGGACCGAGTTATCTTTTTGTGTTGAGTGATGGTGTGCCGGTTAAAATGAGTGTTCATGTTTTGTTGGGATGATCGTGAAATCTGCTGAAGCTGAAATGGACCAATGAGATTAGAGAACAGAAATTAATCTTCAGCCACCAAAACTATTTTTTATATATATTTATTTATTAGCATATTCATTAACATTAACACTAATTTGTAAACTAAAACTGCATTCTACGTATACTGTATCACAAAATCCCAAATAAGGAATTATCATAGTCAACATTCAATGTAACTTTATTTCCAAAAAATTTAAAGTTCCCGAGTGATGCATTCATTCTACATAAATATAAAACTCGCATCTTATTGTCATTTTTTCTGTCACATTTTTATCTGTGTATCAAGAATAAAAAATAATGAGACTACCAACATCTATTGTATTGGCGTTAGTAACAGTTTACATCGTTCCATTGATATTTGCACAAAACGAATATTCGAAATTATTTAACGGTATTAGTGTTAGTGTTGGTAGTGCTGGTGGAAATTTAACGGTATTAGTGTTAGTGTTGGTAGTGCTGGTGGAAATGGAGGCAATGCATATGGGTATGGAGGGTATGGAGGCAATGCTGGGAATTATGGAGGCAGTGGCGGAAAAGTCAATAACAGCATTGCTTATGGAGGCAATGGGGGAAGTAGTTATGGTTTAAACGATTCCACAGTATACATCCGAGCCTACGAATTCCCACCACGACCACAAATCGAATACTTGTATTCTAAACCCATTTTTGACAACGCGGTAAAAGTTCCGCCAGAGATTCTGTGCAACGACGACTACAAAAAAATCTCCAAGATCTATACTGATTATGTGGCCGATAATTCGGTCGATTCGAAATTCGCATCGTTGTTTTCGTATGTGAATAGTTTGAAGAGTAATTTGACCGCGACTAGTTCGGGTGTTGCTGTCGCTACTTCGTCAAAAGAGGTTGGGAATGATAGTACGTCGAGTGGTGGACGTAGTACTGGTGGTGTCGAAAGAATTGTTGGCGTTGTTGTGTTGGGGATTTTGACTTCATTTGTTTTTAGTTAAATTTGTCATTCTTTGTAAAATTTTTCAATTTCTCTTTTAACATCTTATCTTTTTAGTGTGATATCAAACTCAGATTGTAAGTTGGTATTGTCTAAATACTGATATGTGAAATGTACATAGACAAGATCTTTAAAACGATTACAGGTGATTAAATTTAGGGACTGTAAAAATTCGGATCTGACTAAAAGGTCCAAGTGGTTCTCAACTTTATCTCAGATTTCCAAAATTTGGGGGAACACTCATTGACTTGTAACACGTTTAATGATTGGCTGAATTCTGTATAACACCATTACTAAACAAATATCTTTTGTTTTGTGATTTGATCCAGCAGATTCTGGCTGGAACTCCTACCAATAAAAAGAAGTGCTAAATACTCACTAAAAACATGAAATCAACTTGAAAATTGATTAAAATATTACATGTAATAAAATGAAAATGATAACCAAACTTATTTTTAATAATTAACAACTTATATTATTAGTTTCTAGTTTAATTTCATATTGAATTTTCTAAATATAAATATTTAATATTTTTTTTTATTAGTAAATATTTAATTTTTTATTTTGATATTATTGCAAATTTTAACTTGTTTTTTATTTGGTTTTATATCAAATTTGTATAATATTATTAAATATTTATATTTTTAGAATATATAATTAGATCTTTATTAATATTATTTGATTTTGTTGAATTATAATTACAAAGATTTAGTTAAATTTTTATATATAATCAAATTCTGAAATTTTGTCAAGTTTCAAAATTTGTTATAACTATATAGTTTATCAAAATTTTGCTAAAATATTTTTAAAAGAATTTAGATAAATATTCTTAAGTTAAATCTTTCTATAATTATTATTTTCATAAAAATAAAAATTGTATGATTATAAAAAAATAAAATTATAAAGAAAGTTTTTACTATATTTATATAGTAAAAATTGAAATTTTTGTTTTATATAAATATTTTTTATTTTTATATCAAAACAAAAATTATAAGTTATAGTTTAATATATTGTTCCAAGTTTATTTACTAATCATTAAATTAGCTTGCAAACTTGAAATTAGATTGGAAGAGAGAATTAAACAATAAATAAAATATTAAAAAAAGAAAGATATCTAAATTCTATCAATTTCTATGAAAAATTGTAATAATTTAAAAATATAATAATATATAAGAGTTATAGAAAAGTAAGATCAAAGAAGAGAGAGAGAAAATATAAAAGAATAAATAATAAATAATAAAGAAAAATTTAAAATATTAATTTTTGTATTTGCATCAAGCTTTTCAAAATTAAGATAATATAATTAGTAATAATAATAACAAAGACTCTTTACTTTGTTCTTTTCACAAATAAAAAATATCAAAATATCATATTCAAAAAAATAAAATAATAAAAATTAAAATATTAATCAAATTCAATAAATCTAATAATAGTAATTTGTCTAGTATAATATAATATAAAGCCAATAATCTAATAATAACAATTTGTTTAGCATAATATAATTTAAAACTACTTGTATTCAAGCTTTGATATGTATAATTGAAAATAAAAATGACAAATATTATTTGAAAAAAGATTTTTGTTAAGAAAGAATTTTATTTTTTATTTGTAACATATTGAGTTAAAATTTAAATATCTTTATTTATATATTTTTTGAAAATATAATTTCAAAATATGATAATTAATTAAAAACAAGATAATTTGATAAAATTAATAAGAAAGTAAAGTAAATTATCTATAATGATATTTCTGAAAAATAGAAAGTGACTATATTCATATAAAAGTTCAGATTACTAAATTATCAAAACTTATAATTAAAATATCAAATATTAAAATAATGAAATTAAATATAACTTTAACAAGAAACTAATAAAATTAAAATAAATAATTATTAAACTTTCTATCAAAGCTTTTTCAAAGTATTAATTAATAATAATTATATAAATACAAATACAAATATAAAAATAAATATTATTTCTTTTAGATTAGTAATACAAAATCAAAATAATATAATATCTTTTTGATATTTCTCAAATTACAAAAATAATTATAATACAAATAAATAATATAAATAATAAATATAAATAATAAATAAAATATAAATAATAATTTCTTGCTAAAATGATATAATTAAAAGATTAAAAAAATATAAGTTACAATCAAATTTTAATAAAGAATATTTTTGTAAAATATAATTTGATAACTTTATAATGATTTTAAGTTAAAATACTTAATATAATATAAGATAATATTAATATAATACAAAGAAAATTAAATATATAAAAAGATTCAATTAAAATATAAAAATAGAATACATATTAATCTTAATAAAAATAATCTAATTTATAATAAAGAATTAATTAAAATATCTTAAATAAAAATCAATTAGATTCATAATAATTATTAATTTTTATTAAATACTTTCATTATATAAGAGAAATATTATTATTATAAATAGATATTGAACTTTTTGATGCTATACTTATCTAATTGGTCTTTTATTCTAGTATATTAATAAATAGCTAAATAATATATAATATATTATAATAGTGATAAAACTCTTTACTAAAGAGTTTTACTTCACAAAACTTTACAATATTATTTCAAGTTATAATCATCATTTTTTGTTATTATTTATTATTGTTATTCAACTAATAATTAATATTAATTGAATTTTTATATATATTTAAGTATTCATATTGATAACAAAAAATTATTAATAGTAATTATAATAACTAATATATAAATATTGTATTAGTATTTAAGATATAATAATAATTAATAATAATAATAATTCAATTTTTTTATAAAGAGTACACACCAAAAAAATTATTGAGCTTTTACATATAAAAATATTTCAAAATGATAATAGTGATTATATCTATAGTAATTTATTTTGATTATAACTAACTAATATTTTTAACAAAATAAAATGATAAAATTAAATTTAAGACAAGACTAAACTAAGAGAAAACTTAATTAAAATTTACTAACTTTAAAAATAAATCAAATTAATATAACTAAACTAAATAAACTTAAAACCAAATCAAAAAAACTTAAATAAAATTCAAAAGAACTTAAATTAAACTAAGAAAACTTAAAATAAAAAATAGAGAACTTAAATTAAACTTGGAGAACTTAAATTTTATTAATTATTAATACTTGTATTCATACATATTTTTATATAATAATAGTATAATATGATATAGTAATATACAATATAATATAGTTATAATATAGTATATAATACAGTAGATCTATATTAATATTATAAAATTATTAATTTCTTCTAATTATATAAAAAATTAATTATATTATAATTAATAATCTTGTTCTATATTAAAATATCAATCACAAAATAAAAAATAAAAGTTAAATAAATATGATTTCAAAAATTATTTTAAATAAATAATATCTAAATTGTCAAATAGACCAAATTATAACTAGAGCTTCTTTTTTAATAGTATTATATTATCACTATTTGATATTTTAATCACATATAAAATAGTATATAATATAATTTTAATAAATATTTATATTTTCTTTTATATTTTTCTATTTATAATTTTATTTTTAATTATTTAATTTATCTAATTTATATATAATTTATCAAAATATCAATTAATTCTTCTTAATATTACATTATTTAATATTATTAGATCTAAATTTATTATATTTTAAATTAATTTTGTTTAATATTAATTAATGTAACGCTAATGTCATTCTAATTTTAATTATATTACTTAGATTAAATTAGTATTATACTTATTATTTCTTGATGTTATACTTCTTCCAAATTTATCTTATAATTATTTTTAAGTAACATCAATTATCATATAAATTTGTATTACATTTACATGTATTTAAACAAATATAATTTAATATAAAATAACAAGAATCTCAGCAGTAATTTCGAAAGTAATAAAAGTATAAAAGTTAATTAATATTTCTAAATAATCTTTTGCTTATTGTTATTTTTGATTTATTATTTACTTAACTTTGACTTATTCAACTAGTGAAAGTCATCTTTTATATTTTAATAAATTATTTGCATTTTTGAATTATAAAATACTTGCTCAATTAGTAAAAGTATTAGAATATATTTCTTTTTAATATTCTCTTCCAACCATTTAATATTCAATTCTCTCAAGTATACATAGTCACTATTATCATTTTTATATAATTTTTAATTAATTACTATAATTAGTTAATACTTTGTCTATTAATATAAGAACAGTAACAATATCAAGTTTTAGCTAATTTAAGAAAAATACTAGAATATATGATTACTCATCTTTAGTTCTGATTATCTTTTGTAAGAGTATGACTTACAGTTCAGAGTCAAAGACATTAGTATATAAGTATAATTTTTTTGTAAAGTTTGAATAAATTAATATTAAATACTTCTTTTTGATTAATAAAGATAATATTATTGTACAATAGTTTAAATAATAGTACAATTTTTTTGTTTTAAACTTACTTCAAAGTTTCATAAGAAAGCTTGATATAATGAAAAAATTTCCAGCTCAAGAGGTTCGTTATATCAAGATTTGATTATATAACATTTATTTGAATTTTGCACATTAATTTTATGATTTGATTGGTGCATAATTTTTTTCACTGTGACAAGAGTATTATTATAAGTTTTTTTACTAATCATTAAATTAGCTTACAAACAAGAATCTGAATTGGGAGAGGGTATAAACTGATAAAGAAAATATTAATAGAAAAGAGAGGTATCTAAGATCTATATTAATTTCTATAGAAATTGTGTTTACTTAAAAAAGAAATAATAATGTGTGAGAGTAAAGATCAAAGAGGAGAGAAAATAAAGAAGTAATAAAAAGGATTCTAAAGAGTGATTCTATACTTGTATAAAGTTTTCTAGAACTAAGATAATATAATTAATAATAACAATAACAAAGACTCTTTTACTTTGTTCTTCTCACAAGTGAGGAATATTTATTAATAATTAAAAATTCAAATAACAAAAAGTAAAAA